GAACCAGCTGTTCACCAGGAAATCAAATACATGTGAACTAGGCAACTGTAGCTGCTCAAGCCACTCTGTTAAGATGTCTTTCCACTTGCCTTGCCAGCCACAATGATGAGTACGAATATAGTACTTAAACTAAATTGCTCAAAGTTTTCACTTCAGTCTTGTTTCATGTAACCAGAAGAAATACATCCTCCTCGATGCTCATACAGAAATACTTAACATGACAGGTTTCCACAGTTTCTGTACCCATACATTTTGGCATCTCAAGAACCAATTCAAGTTAATGAGTTTCATCTAGTAATGAGAAAGCTGTAAATAAAATGAGACAAAAATCATGTTACAACAAAATGCAGAATTAAGATCTGAATAAAACATGCCTGGATGCAATCAGCAGTCAATTAGAATGACAAATTCTGCATGGTTTCAAATTAAAGAATTTTAATGGAGTCTTGAGGCTTAGATACAGAAATACAGTTGCAGACAGCCAAGGGTTCAGTTCCGAATGTCCAGGATTTCCAGGTATCGCTACCAATAGCTAAGTTTCTAAGGCCACAATTGAGAAGGTGAAGTTTGCTTAAAGCTTTTCTTTTCTTTTTTTTTTTTTTTTAAATGAGGCTAAAATTTTCCCAGAGTTCTTTTATCTTCAACTTTTTACTTTCAAGCTATGTTTTACTTCAGGTGAATGTCTGTCTTTGGTTTTGATCCTACTAGTGTATTAAAAAAAAGTGGGAAAAATAACACGTGAACACATTACAGTTGTTTCTCCTGACTATGCTTCCTAGTCAGGTGAGAAGTCTGGAGTTCGTACACATATAAATGGAGCACTTTGGAACATGAGATCCATTCCTCTCACACACGCCGTAATTAGCTGTCAGTTTCACCATGAACATTTTCCATGTGCACTTTGAGGTAGTCATTTCTTGTAAACTTCTTGTGGCAAAGCTGGCATTCTGCCATCGGTCGATTGGGATTGTGAGTCAGCTTGTGTCGGATCAGCATTTTCTTCAGGCTGAAGGACAGATCACAAACCTAAGGCAGTGAAGACAAGACAAAGACAAAAGTCTTAAAACTTCAAGCATGTATAACGCTCCTTATGTTACATCACTGAGGCCACAGCCACACATACCTGCAATACTTAATACATGAGCTGGTCTTTGGAAGAATAACTCCTTCAGAGAGCACCTTAAAGATTATTACTCTGCCTGGTATCTTTCAATGTCGTACATTAACAGTGGCACCGCAGGCATGGGGGGGCAGGAGGAGAAGGGAAAAAAGACCCAATCTTCAAAATAGCAACACACTGTGGTATCCCAGTTACATTGTGGGTTTGTTTTTTTTTTTTTTTAACCTATTATTCTATCTGGGATGCAGCAAAAATTATGGCAAAACATCACAAGTCTCTGTCAATTCGACCTCCAATGAAGTATTTCCTTCCTGACCTCCAGAATGACATCTGCAGGTTCCTAAAAAATCCGTTCAAATTGCTCAGTTACAAGGAGGGTGGAGTGAGAAGAAAAGAGGCTCTGAAGACTGCAAGAAAGGTTAGTAGTTATTATAGAGGAAACCTCATTGTTCCAGTCTTCCTCTGCCTGGCCAAGGAAACAGCAGACATCTGGCAAATGAAGGTGCAATTCTTTTGCTACAGTATCTGGTGTGTTGCTTCCCTTCCTTCACTGTACTCCAAGCAGTCCAGTTCATTCTGCCATTTAAATAAATGGCTAGAGGGATGAGGGACTCTGCCATGCTAAAACCATCACTTTTTATAAAAAAATCCTGTACTGGATTAAAAATGAAAGGTTAAGAACAAGTTCAGCCAAGAGAAGTTAGAATGAAAAGTTAAGAATCTGTAGGCAAGACATCAAGTCAATTGAAATCATGGAGTTCCACTATCACATTCACCTTCCATCCAGGTATATACTCTATGCATGAATTTCCCGGGGAGGGGGGGTGGGGGAAGCGATAAAAAAGCAAGCATGCTCCTGATTTGACAAATGAAATCGGCAAGAATCATATAATTAAATAAGAATGAACATCCATAGGCCTGCAATCTTAGAATTCCAGGTTCATTCCAGACAAAAACACCTTCCATGCAGAGGAAACTCAAGGGAACCCAGAAAAATCCCTCTTTAGGAAAACAAAGTTTTAAATTCATATTGGTATCAAACTAGTAATGAAGATGCTGAATGATTACTGACTCCTTTTGAAACCAAGACAGCCAAATAGACCTGACTATCCAAGTAGATAATCTTGACCTACAGTATATGTATTTTATGCCAATTAAGGCAAAACCATATAATGACCATAAAAAGGGCAACTGCCAGAGGCAAGTTTTGTACCCAAAATAATTTTTCCCCAGACAAGAACACTGTATGTACTGTTGCAATGGAACATTTTTGAATTTATGACATGACGTAATAGCGAGGACTTTTATATAGCAACTGTAACTCTCCAACTTTTTTCCCCTAAATGTATAATTACCTCTTTCAGACCCAAGCAACAGTCACCCTTTTGTTATGCAACAGTGAATGTCATTTACAGCATCCACTGGTCAGGTCTTAATATTGCTTTTGCCAAGTACCATTTTCTATTCCTCTTCCACAGAGCACACAAAGTGAGCTCATAACATTTATCTAATCATAACCATCATGCTTGCTCACAAGTCTCAGCATGTTAAAAGTATCATATATTTGTAACCACAACATGTTTCTTGGAAGCCAGAAAGCCAGTCAAGGATATACACACATACAAGATACGTATGTGTTCTGTGTATCTTACAAACGCCTCTTCATTTTTAAAGTAAACAGCTTATAACACAGTCTTAAAGTACATTTTTTTCCATTTATAATGTTTATATAACAACTAGTATAATGTGTCCTGCTGTTTCTTCAAGGCTCTAGCACGTTCTACTACCTAACTCCTTCAAAAACAACACGAAATGCACAGGATCATTACTTAAAGATATGATACATCTCGTGCTGTGCTTATGCGTAAAAGTTTTTGTGGTTTTTTAAGAGTTTGCTTCATATTTCAATTTTATAAGTAAGACTGACTTTTTATAGATATACAAGCATGCTTGCTGATGTGCACTTGAACTCTAATCAATCTCTTCAAAATGATCAAAGTTCTGATCAAGTAGGGAGGATGGAAAAGACTGACATTTGAAAGTATGTGTAGGGTCAACTAAAGGCAGAGTGGAGGGAAATACTGTACTGGAAAGAAACCAGGACAGGCAGTACCTGACCTTGCTGCCCCGAAATAATAATCTGTTGTCTCTGAGGCAGCTGAAGTTCAATTGGCCTTCCAGTAAAAAACAGGCTGGTCTTCAGAGGACAGAAATCTAATATACTAGGAAAAAAAACAGGTTTTGTATTTCTGTATTTCAGTTATTTCACTTTCTTATGTGATATATACTAGAATTTTCACCTTAAAATGGGAATATTCAATTTCCACTATCAGTGGGATGCGAGAGCTTTGAGTCATTAACAGTAAGTTCTGAAAGTCTTTTGTTGACTGATAAGACACAGAAATAGCTACATAAATAAACTGTAGCACCTTCATCAAACAGGGTACAAGGATTACTTTTACATGTAGCACAATCCTGTACCGTAATGTCTGTTCCATATGCCTGAGAGAGAGTGAGGAAGAGAAGACATGGCTTTATTTCTGATTCTGGAAGAAAATTCTATTTAAAGCAAAAGTGCAGCCTAAAAAAATTGGTATGTAATAGTTTATATTGGGTAGGGACAGGTGCATTGCCAAGTGAAGCCTATTCTTGAGACCATAAAATACACTTTTTTTTTTCAATACCCCGAAGTTTTCTTTCTTCAGTTCTTTGGCACTGAAGGCAATTCCTGTTTGTAAATGGTAATGGTACTAAGAAACAAAGAAAATTCTGACAGCAAATGTTAATATATTATTTAGAAGAAAGAGCTGGATAGTTTCTATGACTGCTTCTAATGCCAGGTAAGAAACAAGACGAAAACTCTCAATCCTCTTAAGGTTTTGTCTTTCAGTGTGGCTTCATGTATGATTACGTTTATGACTACTGAAAAAATAGTCTGGTTTTCACCTTTAAGGGTTCTTAGTAGGTCTGTGCATTGGACTTATGACTTTTCCAATTACTTTAATGAGTAAGGGCATGCCAATAGTATGCCTTCACCCCTTAAAACACACAAAGGAAATGGGGGGGGATAACAAAAACTATTATGAAGATGGGAAGTCATCACGCAAAGTGTTGGAAAGAGAAACTACTTCCGAGAAGTTGACTAAGTAGGAACATGACACATGTACAGAAAGCAATGAAATGAAATGAAAGAACTAAAAGACAGTTACTGAAATTCCATTGCAGTAACATGACACACTCTCCCCTCCCCAAAATCTCTTTCCACAGTTAAAAATTTTAAGAATTTGTGGAAGTTGTTGCCATAAATTACCACTCAAGTCATTATAAGAAAAATAATGAGAGCGTCTACAGCTATCTTTAGCAGGATAAAAAAATGTCGGTGAGAATATTTGAGTGTAAAAAGCAGTCTTTAGTAATGGGGAGCCAACAATAAATGTCTCCCATAGGTACATTTTTCTGTAACTGTCCACTACTGGTTTTCCTATAACTTCTGCTGAAACATCTGGTAACATGCAATGTGTGAGACAGCTCTGGAGGAATGGTCTGCTCTGGGTGACATTTACTACACCCCCAGCATCTGCAGAAGTGAAGTCTAGATTAAATAAGGAGTCACTATCAAAAACAAAACTTTCAACACTCTCCAAGTGTGCATTAAGCAGCAGACCATGGTAGGCACCTGGGCAACTGAAGAGTTTAATGAATGAATAGTAGAGGCAACCGCTGTTTATGTCCAAACCCTGAAAAGTCAGCAATCTCTGCAATGCACACCTGGCAAAAACTAACACTGAAGAATAATTTTGATGAAACATGGTGGTAATTTAAAGTATAAAAAAAAATCTCCAGTAAATGAAAGTACATAAAAATTCTCAGAGAAGGACTGGGACTAGACACAGATTATAGCTGTTTCTAGAAATACTATGATAAACAGTTCTATCTAATTAATGAGAAAAACTGAAGGAATAGTTGAAGCAGGAAATTGTGTTTTCATATAGCTCCTATTTTCAATTAAAGAAAGAAAAAAGAATAAAATATAACCGCCACCCCAAATTGGTCTAAAGCAGCACACTGTGAATCCAACACCAGTGAATCTTGGATCCACAGTGTGGGAAGAATTGCATTTACACTGCAAGCTAGCCAACAGCTGATAAACAGTATAGCAATCTGAAAGCTGAAAAAGTTATTGACAATGATTTGGAATTAGAGAAATCATCAAGGTACTATCTAGAGCCAGGCTGAGATTATCCCAAAAGAATACCGCAAATCTCCTGACTTGTAGATATCAGCAAAATAGTGTAGCTGATTTTTTTCATTAAATTAATACATTTTATTCTCAATTAAATGTCACCACATTATTTATTAAAGATCAGATCAATTAGCAGACCCTTGTGACTTTCAGGCCAAGTGGTTACTCTAATTTTGCATCTAATTTTAGAAATTTGTGAACCAATTTACAAGTGTTCAGACTGAGACATCTAGGATATAACTGAAAGCTAGTGGTTCCCTTGTGACTAGTTCATTAAGAGCTAGTATCACAAAACAAAACACCTATACTAATGCTATACCCTATTCTGATGCCCTTCTCTAAATCTTCTAGCAACAACTTAAATTCTGGCATTTGATAATTCTGAAAGACATTCTTTTCCAACAGTTTCTGTACCTTCAGCCTCCTCAACTACCTTCCAAAAGCCGTGAGACACATTGTGTACAGGATGGGTATGCTGAATGAAAGGTATTTGTCAGTGATCTATGAACTGTGATATGATATGCTGCATTTCAGCACTGCAAGCATACACAGCATCCACGATTTCTTCATTGAACAATAAAAAAAACCAGCTATGAGCAGATGTTGAAAACATCAGATCAGATTTCACCAAACAGAAATTGGAAATTCTAAATTCATATTTCTGTCATTCAACAACATCAGAAGCATTCAGGTTCCATGTAATTAATTAAATGCCTTTTCCTGTATAAACTAATCTCCAGCTATTAAACTGTCATACAATTTATACGGGAACCCAATCAGCATGAATTTGTAACTTGCAACATCCAAATTGCATTAATAATGGTGAAAATAACTCTTAAGGGATCCAAAACCATAAAATAAAAGGGTGTGCAATGCTCTTGGCAACTGAAGAGGGTACATAAAGTTCCCTGAATGGTCTTTCATTAGTTAGGCAAGCAAAGACCATACGAAGTGTAACTTTATGCCACAGCCAATAGGTGCATGGCCGTAGTCTCCCTGCAATTAAGTCCTGCTGCTGCACTGAAGTCAAGAAGACAAAAGGATAGATCAACTCACATCACACTGAAACGGCTTCTCTCCGGTGTGGGTTCTCATGTGCTCATCTAGGCCTCGCTTTTGACTGAAAGCCTTGTTACACTCTGAACATTGGTACGGCTTTTCCTGTACGAAATGACAACAGTGAGTGAAAGTGAGTGAAAGTGAGTCAACACAGAGCCCAAGTCATTAAAGGAGTGGAATTCCATGCAGAATGGTGCAAGTTTTATATTCTCTCTAAGGGATTACAGTCAGTGAAAACAACAGAAAACGACTTTCAAATGATTAAGTGAAAGCTGGGAAAGCTGTGGCCTGACAATTTCCACTTCAACACCCACTTACGAATTCATTATCTGTTCCAGTCTTTCAAACCCAGCCATTTTGGGAGTCTGGTTTTTGTAAGGTGAAAGGTACAGAAACATAAAATTCCAATGCATTTTCCTTTATCCTCTACAAAAGCTTAAAGCATGAAGACAACTAAGATGTCTCTAAAAACCTCAGGTTTGTTAGCACGTTTCCAAGCAGGGGAAGAGGTGAGGGGAGGAAGTGGGGGTACAAGGAAAGCTTGTGGTAGAGAAAAAACTTATTTTGAAAAGTGGTGACAGAAGGTTAATCACATATTCATTGCAGAATCTCAAAAGAAGTGCAGATGGCAACCAAGCCATCTGTATTTTTATTAGAACTATTGGTTAGCAGCTACTATAACACATGATGTTATAAAAGTTGCAAGCTCACTGACATCAAATAAATAATTAGATAACTGTATGGAAAACCACTTATATAAAGATTTTCTTTCAAGCTCTTTCTTAATATAGAAACTTTTATATAAGGTGTAATTCCTCCTTAATTCCACTAAAGTTACAAAAGAACTGTATGGAAAACAACATTTAAATAAGTTTAATTAAATGTAAAACTTAGTATTATGGCACCGCACTTTGCCTTGCTAAAATTTTGATGCTCTGGCAGCACCTTTATTTTGAATCAAACAACTATACTTACTTTACTCTCATCCTGCTTTTTGCTGTGGTGTCTGATTCTGTATTGCTTAAGTTCTAAAGATGGGTATTTTAGGCAACAAAGTAAACATTTTTTACTAAATTAAACTGAAAACAAAGGCTGAAAATCAATAGGCAATAAAAATGCTAAGTCCATGAATTAACAACTAATAGGCAGTAATCTTAACCGTCTTTTGGGAAATAATGTGGGATCCAAACATAAGTGAGAAGGAACAACTCGGCTTAGGTGTTGAAGCTACAAAGTGAAGAAATTCTCTGGTTATTGAATTCCTACTCTGAGTATGCAGGGGACAATCAGGTCTCCACGTATTGCTGAATCCTGCCAGGTACTCAGCATAAACCGTACAAGTAATACAATCAGTCTTGTTCTGGGTAAGTCCCAAGCTCTCTCTTTAGGGCACCTCTTTGCAGGTACAGAGATCTCAGCGGGGGCAAAGACTGAGTTCTTTGTTTTGCTCTAGTTGTGATGGACTACCCTCCCATAAGGGTTCCTAGAAAAGGCAGTGCCATAGACAGAAACATCTCAACTTTTAGCAGCAGGCATCCCCTAGCTCACCAAAACCAGTTCATAAGCTGTGTACACAGGCGAAAGCATTTCTCCAGAAATTTCAATTTCAGATATGAGCAAATCACAAGATAAATAAAGTACATTTTAGTATGATGCAAGACAAATCTTTCTACTGACACAGGCTGAGTACACAGTGCACAGCTGCATATAATCAAACTGGCCTAAAGGGAAGACACTAATGAGTTTTTCTGTGCAAGATTCTCCTTACACATGTTTATCATCTTTGTGTTTTTTCATCATTATCTTAATTTTGTAATTCCATGATTCTTCAGGATAGAATAAAACACAACAAATTACCTAAAAAAGATCTGAACTGATCTAAGGGGGAAAAAAAAAAAATCATCATCATCTAGACCAAAAACTTCATGTCATGGGGAGTTTTGCTAGACTAAGGACTTAGTGCCTCTCATGGAGCAGGCCTCTAATTTTTAAGGAAATGTACGAATAAGCCATATGAAAAGCAGGTTTCTGCAACACCCCCTTAATTGGTTTTGCATTGTGGTTAACATAAACCACATTTTCTGTGAGTTCTCTGAAAAAAGCTTTTCTCTGTGTAGGTTGGTCCACAGAAAGTGCAAAGTAAAGTGATGTGATGTACACATCTTAAACATCTATGAAAACGTTCATTATTGCAAACTGTACCAGGTGTACTTCCTCGCTTTTTATCGTCTCGTTCTTCAGGTATCTGAAGAGTTAACTCGATTATGATTATCATATTCAGAGTTAACTGGACTTCAGGATGCCATTTGGGAGAAAGAGCCATTAAAAACTCGGGGAAGCTGAAGTCACAAACCTGGGCTGTAATATCTTCCCCAAGATTATGTTTGGCTATTTGTATTACTCTGTACAGCAAAAAAGGGTATATCTAACCATCCCCTTGGCATTTGTATTCAAATTCACATATGTAGCGCATGAAACACATCCAAAGCTGTCTTTGATCTAATTTTAGATTCCTTACATCTGCATGTTCCAGTGACTTCAGCAGCCCCAACTCTGATTCACACCAGCCCCCTCTCCCCTAAGCTAAGCTGCCCTTCATTCACATTTGTGCCTGTTTCAGTAAAATCGATAGTGTTGTCCAGAGCAAAACTTGGCCCTAAGTTTCTCTCCAGAGAAAAAGACTCTTTTGTCGGTTTTGAAGACAGCATCATTCTCACAGAGTAATTTCTTCAAAACAAAGCATTCCGTGCTTTTCCTTTTCTCTCTCCCCGTTCTTCCCCTCATATCAAATTTCAGTTGCACAATACTTGGAGAAGGCAAGATTTGTAACACGGAAAAGATGATGTTGGCTTGGCATAACCACCACTGCTCTAAACATGAACAGGGGAAAAAAAAAGTAGATAAAACCCACAGCAATAAGTCTGGAAGAAAGTTAATGGCACCACAAAAGGACAATAGGGACCAACAATGATATTAGAATAAAGCTGGACAAATTTAAAACATCAAGGAAAGGGTAAAACCTGCTAACTGTCAACAAAACAGGAGGTCACTGGGAAGATCATATAAGTCTGACTTCAGAGGAGTTAGCAACTGCTAGTACTATAAATCTACCCTCTGTTCAAAAAGCATCTGCCAGGCCATGACTACAGTGGCAGCAAAGCCAAATTATTACATGTGTTTTCTTTTATTGATGATATAAATGAGGAAGGGAGCAGGGAGAGTGAGAGACAGGATGTAGCTGATAGTGCAGTGATTTAATATTCCATTTTTAAGTACACCAGGTATAAATAGAAATATGTAGATCAGGATTTATAACCTTCCTGACTCTAAAGAAAGAAAAGCCAAGAAGAGCCCAAATGGGACTTTGTATTCTGGAAGGTGCTTTGCTGTAAGACTGGTGTACTAACTTAGAAGTTCCCATCTCTGATGATTTTCACTTCACTACGTTAAAACTGAGAGGAATTCAACATTTTAACAACTATGACAAATAAAACAGTGCCTGCAATACGCACTTCATCTGTCTGTGGATAGCTGAATCATAAATGACTACCTTGGATTCTATGCAAATTGTGCATTGCATTAGAAAGACAGAACACGACAAATTCTCAAGGCCATTTGACACCACCTTTAACAGATTGATAGAACATGTGTACAGAGTATCCTGCAACCACAGCAGATGGAAATACTTAAATGCAGAATATTTGAACTGCTAACTGCTGCTGTAGTTGACTGTACCTCCCTTAAGAAATATAAATACATTATGTACATTAGCTTAGCACTAGCGCACGTGGTTGTTTCTGTAAACCTGGTAAAATTGATTACACAGGTAAAACATGACTGACTTTGGTAGGAGTATCTCCAAATAACTTCCTAAATCTGAATTTAGAACTATTACATGAGCTCAATAGGAACAGCAAGAAAAAGATAATCTAGACACTAGTATATCCAAATAAATCATAGCTCAAGATTCAAAAAAAATGAGAGTTAAGAACAGTTCTAGTAACTCTTTCCAAGGTGGCAGGAGCAAGTTAAAACTGGGCTGAACCCATACTCAGGTGAACTTATTCTTTACCTTTTTGGTTAATTTACTACAGTGATTGCAGATTTATACTACTCAGAAAGTGAACTTGTTGACTACAGAAATGTTACTCAATAATCCTTTTTAACACTTAGGTTTTAATTGACATACAGAGTATACTTAAAATTCCAGAGCTATCTAGGATCTAATCTCTCTTATGCTCTTTTTTTTATATCCTACTGAATTCAGCAGATTTACTTCTGATTTACTTAGAATTTCACATTTTCTTGTAGATCATGTTCATACATCTTAGCACACATCAGAATTACTAGCATCTCGGGGTAAGACATACTGACCATGTTAAGTTTCACATGACTATCAACTTGCTGGATCTGCAGTTTCTACATGCTGAAAACTGAGCATTCAGAGAAGTTCAGAGAAACAAGGAAAAGGGTATCACATCTTCTATTACTTGTAAACATTTAAACATAATCTTATATTACATGTAAACATTTACATTTGTGACATGAGTGTGAAAAAATTGCCAGACATGAATAATGGCAATGATACAGCACCAAAAAAAACCCACCACACCTCTTTTTTTTCTGGAGACATACAAAAATGAGATCTGTATAACAGACAAATCTGGAGACAAACAGGATGTATTTTTGAAAAATGAACAGTAAGGCCCAGTACATACATGAAGATTCTTGGTAAAACCTGAATAAGCCTGAAAATGTCTCAACCTAAACTCCTTGGGAAGCGGTAGGTATGGAACTTTTTTTGTTGAGATTTATTCTCACAACAGGAAACACAGAGCTAAAGAAAAATACCAGCTTGTATTTTCAATAGCAAAATATTTTAAAATACGTAGATCATCCTTTAGTTCACCTCATTTTTTTCCTTCTTGTTTTTAATTGCTTTCATTATTCTAAAACAAACAGCTTTCCTTTACTCCCAAAGAGAAAGTCTTATAATGCCTACACATGAGATGTAAATACAGTAAGACTATCTGCTTTCAAACCTTATGTGGAGAATTTGAAAAGAATTGTATTACTCAATAAATATCATTTGCTGCTACATG